GTCTGTACTGTAGAAAGAGCCTTTTTTTATTGCAGGGACTCAAGACGCAGAGTGCTTAAGACAGTAATAATTACAGTTCATGAAGCACAACCTGTATGATAGAACCTTTGTGTTCTTTATACCACATTCCTAGATGAGGAAAGCCCCATTAATTGGTCATTTGCCTATGGCAGGGCAGTAAGAGGTGTTCTTTGAACATTGAGGAAATGCTCAACTATCATTTTACCTAATCTCAAAATATCATAACATTCTTGCAATATCTATAAAAATGAAACCTAAAAATAAGGTATTGTAGAAGCAAAATTGCTTTCTCTCTGGCAGTAATAGTAATTATAATCTTGGCTTAAACTTTCTAAAAATTCCCTTGCAGGCTGCTGTGATTTTTTTAAACAGTGATTTAAACAATAAAAGTGAGTCTCTTAAGAATTGCTGGAATGTTATTCCTGGAATTTTCATTTTTTTCAGCACAACTCTTTTCGTTTCGCATGTAATCCGTTAAGAGTTAGAAATGTAATTGTGCGTTTCAGGGGTGTGGTTTAGAGTGCAATCGTTTTTTAAAATGAGATTTCTTTGGAATCTTACAGGAAGTTCAAAACTTCAGTTTTCAGACTTTTTATTTTAAGGATGTTTGTTTAGAGTTTTTAAAATCGATAGTAATAGATTGTTGTGAAGTAATTTAACTTACCATTTTCCCTGCTAATGCCTCAGTCTATGTGAATAATTTTAGTAGCTGTATCAGTTGTTTTTCAGTACTGTTAGTTGACCAACATATGACTTAGCGTTCTGTCTGGCATCCATAAGTTAAATATGCCCATCTCTCTCACCTTGGGAATTGGGAATTGTTGTGCTGTATTTGGCAGTGATATATCAAAGGCAGCCAAACCTACTCCATGTCAAAAAACACAACTGAAGGAGGGGAAGGTCAATGAAGAATGAGCTAAAACGAAAGCCAACCAAAAAAACACAGCCAAAATCAGGCCAAAGTGATGTTTTGGTCCACCACCTTGTTTCAAAATGGTGGCTAGCATCCAAACATCAACAAAGATTGCCACTCCCACCTTCGGACTTCTCCTGCCAAGTTTGGTGATGATATCTCGAGTGATGTCTGAACGTATAGACGGCAAACAGACAAAGCATTTTCTAAAATATGTAGTAGATTGTATGGCATAATTATTTTCTGTTCAGGTTAGGTTTTATTGACATTATCATTTTAAATTGTTCTTTTTATGTTATATTTATTATTATTCATGATATATTGTGATCCACCCCGGGCATAGTTTTGTGGAAGAGTAGCATACAAATAAACGCATGATGCTAATGACATTTCTCCACTTGGTGTAGGTTTCTTAATAGCTGTGCACTGCATGACCCCATGCAGCCACTGCCCTTTGATTACTGTTAGAAAGGGCATGCCTCTTTCTCCCATTGGTTGCCATTCATCATTGGTAAAGAAGTATGATCTCCAGCCCCACTCAGTGGCAGACATATCCATAAGATTCATGTAGATGTTAGGAGCATTAGGGACAAGACTGGCGGTTTCTTCTTGTAGTTGAAGTGGAACTGCAGTTCAGATTCTGTATAGGCATTGCCATCTCATTTAATGAAACAGGAAGAACTCATAAACCAGCAATAAGAGTTCATAATGCCAAAATAGGAGCGGTTCTCTTCTTACTCCACCCCTACTCCCACCCTGTAGTGTAGCGTCTATATCAGCTGTCCCAGAAATAAAACAATTTGAATATTTTCTTCTACAAATGTTTAAATATTCTCCACCAAGCCTTGGAAACTTGATACAGTCAGACCCTTGAGCTGTGACAGAAGGTTTTTGACACTTAACCTTTAGCTTTCAGACCTTCAACGTACTTTATAAACAGGCATCCTAAGTTTGCTTTTATTTTAAAAACTTTCCCAAAGCAATGCAAAAATATGTTCTGAAATATGGAATAAAGCATACCTTTACCTTTAAAAGGGGCAGGGTCGTACAGAAAACAAGAAAGGCAGAATTTATTACATGGTGGTTAGCACAAAAGTATGGTGAAGCTGAAGGCTTGTTGGTAGATGAGAGAAATTTCTTCTGTTGCAACTTCCTGAAAACTTTCCAAGCTAATACAGAGTTCTCAGGTTAGCTTGTAACTATGTTCAGTACCACTTGCACACTTTGTTTTAGCCATAATGTTATCTGTTGTTTCTCATAGACCTTCCTCCCAGTTGTACTGAGTTCTTTCGGTGAATGTTGCTCCTTTCATTTTATGCCTGTGAGTTCCACTGAAAAATAGCATTTTTGAATCCTACCTTTTAGTGTAATATTAGACAATTTATTCCGAACATGCAAGTTTGGACCTTGTGCTTGAGTGAAAGACTTTGGCAAATCATTAATAAACAAAATTAGGTTGGGTAACATGGTTTGTCAACAGAAATTGTCCTCTGAACTTTCAGAGGACCCTTATCTTTGCCTTCTGGAAGTAAATACACTTATTTTATAATGGGGTATAAACCTGCTTTTTGAGAATAAAAGGTAAAAAGCGTTTTAAACACATGCTGTTATTGGATAATAATCGTGTTTAACAACCCAACACACCTGTATTTTATAACTGCTGCATTTTTTCATCTGCCTACTTCTGGGCTGTAAATCTGATAAATCCTGCCTCCCACTTCTAGCTTTGTGTTTGCAAAAGTAGTTTTACTCTTCAACTTGTTAAAATAAAAAATGGACTGTAAGGGAAGTATTAGCAGTGGGCATCACTGTAGTGAAGCATTTTTGTTGTGCTGAATTGTATTTTTAAAGGTTATGAGGCAAAGCTAAAACTTACTCAGGGCTGAGGAACCTTTTCAGACCATGAGCTATATTCCCTTGTGAATAACATCCTTGGGACACATACCAGTGAGGGTTGGGAACAGAGACAAAAGTGGGTGGAGCAATTAATGTAAATATTACCTTTGCGCAGTACCCTAGTTTTTACGCGCAAACTAGAGGTGCCTGCTGTATAGTTTCAGACAACTGGAGGAGGGGTAACTTGGTTTTAGGGCTACATTCTCTGTCATCAGTCCAACAATCAGCTTTGAGTGTCTCTAACTGGTGCTGGGTTCTCATTACGGTGTTCTAAGAGAAGCCCTCATCCTATGTCCCTCCCTGAACTTGTGGTCTCGAGTGTTGTGTTGACAACTTCAAATCTTGTGGGACTTAAATGTTCATGCTGATGCTGTCTTCTCAGGGGCAGCTCAGGATTTCATAGCTGCCCTGTCAACCATAGACCTGTCTCAAGACCTGAACCAATACTTGGCAGGGTGTACCTTGGATCTTGTTTCTCTACAGAAGTAGAGGGAAACAATATGTGGGTGTGAGAGAGAAACAACTCCATTGGTATGTACAGATCATTAACTGATCAGATTTGGTATGGTCTACTCCCTGGATCTGGATGGTTTTCTGAAGCCAATTGGAGATTTTCTCACAGCTTTAACTGGCAGTCTTATTGAGGTCTTCTTAGAATGAGGATATGACTTAGGTCATCAGTACAACTACTTCAAAATGTTTTCTGGCTGTCTGTAGATCTGGTGTCAGTTCCTTGGTATTCAGAGGAACCTTGTTAGTTCTCCTGGACCTCAACAGCTTTCAGTACCGTTGTCCATGGTAACCTTATCTGGATTAGTTTGGAAGGCATTGTTTTAAAGTGATTGTGGTACTTCTGAAGGAGAGGTTCTGGAAGATGGTGCTGGGGAACTTTTGCTCTACTCTACAGCCAAAGCTTTATGTCCTGCAGAAGTATTATTTTGCAAATACTAAAGAACAAGGGAGCCATGTAAACCACTGGGGGAAGTCTTCCAGAGATTTGGGTTGCAATGTCATCAGCATGTAAATGACACTCAGCTTTACCTCTCATTTCAAGCTTTCTTGAATGTAGGCATACTACCATGTGCCCTAGGAAAGTTAATTGAGTAAATTTTTATATGTTATGGGGGTTAGATTAATTAAGTGAAGGAGGGTATCTAGAGTTTGATCTTGAAAGTGCACAGAGGCAATACCACCTCTGAACAGAACTAAGACTGTTGGTTTAGCTAAAGTCTAAATATAAATATAAAGGACAACAACCAGGATAGTGGTGGAGTTCATACTTGGATTGTAGGGGTGTTCTACTGGTGCTTTGAGCACTCATACCAATTTCTCCAAGGAAGGGGCAATGAAATGGATTTGTTTGCGCCCATGAGGCCAAGTGCCTGAGTGAAAGTTGGTTATCCACATTGGCCTGGGCCTCAACTTTGTGGCTGGTGGATGTAGCACATAGTGGCATAGACCTACAGTGGCTTCTGTTTTTGGTTGCAGTCCAAACAAGCCCTGCATCATCTCTTCATTTGGAGCTTAGGATTCAGTTACCTAAAAAGTGTGCACCTTGTTTTGCTCAATTTTGCTGTGTAAGCTCAAATGTTAAGATTCAGTTGCATCACAGATTCAAACTTCCTTCAGCAACAAGCTTAGTTCCAGTTGTAACTGGGCCAATCATTATGTAATGTTTCATCCCACAGAAAGTGTTGTGTGTTTTTTATCCCATTGAAGGTATCATGTGTGCAAAACGAAGCATTAAAAAAATGGTTGATCCTAATGGCCTCAAGATAATACTTTTAAAGAGCATCTAGGCTGACTTCCAAGCACCATTTATTGAAATAAAAATTGCTTATATTAAATACAAGTACATAGCATGCATCCACAATGCATTTCCCTACTTGTTTTTTCTTCCAATTATGGAATAAATAGGGTAAAAACATACTTTTAAATATTGTGCCTTTTAAAATCCCAGGCTCTGCCTTCAGTATTACTGTAACAGCACTTTCTTTTTATGGTTTTAAAATGTGAAGTACTGTGAGTATAATGAATTCAGCAAAAACTCAAGATGCTTTTCTTGTGTTTTGGTTAACAGAGCAGAGTAAGAGTCAATGTTTTTGTAGCTTAGTATTTCTATACTTTTATTCCTTTCTTTAGTTTGGTCTGTGTTTTGTTGTTTCCTTAGCCCTGGAATGAGATCTGATGTAAGCACTTCACCATCTACCTCTTCAACAACTACGGGACCACCTCCCAAGCTCTGCCTTGTTTGCTCAGATGAGGCTTCTGGGTGTCATTATGGTGTCCTAACTTGTGGCAGCTGCAAAGTGTTCTTCAAAAGAGCTGTGGAAGGTAGGATATATCAGTTATTTAAAACATATAGTCTATATCTCACCTCAAATGTTTGTGGGTTTTTACAAAGGTTATTGGAGTTCATTTCCATGCTATTTCTTCCTGTTTCCTGCAAAATCCTTGGTCTTCAGTAGCCATCTTCAAGTATTTTTCTGTGTGAGTGTGTGTATGTGCGTGTTAAGTAAGCACGTGAAAGCAGCCAGTGGGAATAAGCATTCTGGCTCTACCTCCTGTTCCCATTCCATTGCTTTTCACAAGTTGGAGGGCAGACTTCTAAAGTGGGAGCCTTCTATACTTGTGGCAGCTACCTTCTTCAGATTTTCACCCTCCAAATCATGGGTGGTGATGTGGGTGGAGCCAGAACTAGCTTGCTCTCCTAACTCTTCTTCATGTATTTACTTAACATGAAAGAACAAACAGCCAATGAGGGCTGTTTTGTTTATTTTTATTTACAATATAGCCCACTCTTCATTTATGGTATAGCTCACTTGTCACTGAATATTTGCAATCCCAGAGCATGGAGCAAAGTAATAAAAATAAACAGAGAAAAATAATATATAATATTGCAAAAAACATATAAACAGGCCCAAGAAATAGAAACTTAACAATTATGTCATGAGAAAAGCAAGCAAAACTACATTAATAAAATTAAAAATTTCCAATTTAACCAAATACCTAGGTAAAAGCAAACACAAGATGTTCAAACAGTTTAAACAACCAATGGTTTTAGCAAGTTCCCACCCTGTTTTTCACTAATGGTAGCCCGCTCTTTTCTCTGTCTCCCCACACAAAGAGGGCCCCACTCTGTGCCAGAGGATTCTCAGTGTAACTGCTTACCCAACCTCCAAGATACCACACCACAGTGTTGTTTATGATCCTTGCACACTAGGCATTGGAATCCCCCCCCAATTAATATTAAGCAGGAACTTTTCCTGTATGGTTTACAGCAAACTAAGCAAGACATGTAATGTTAAACATCCATAATACAATAAGATAATAAGTTGTTTTAAAACTTTTGATTTTATTTATATCTTGACAAGCTTTAGGTCAAGTTGTTTTCAGTGTTTGATTTTATTTGTAAATAGATTCTAGTAAATAGACCCTGGTAAATAGATCTACCGAGGTTCACTGTTCTCCTATTGTCGCTCATGTTTAACACTGCTATTTAATTCAATATGGAAAGAATCTGCTCTTTAAAAGTTATAGTTGACTTTACTTTGCTTCCAAGGTTTGCTTATACTTGGATCTTTGGTTCCATAAAAATTCCAAAGGATTTAGTTTGCCTGCTTCACAAGCTCCAAAAACCAAATAGTTTCCTCCCTGTTCTTTTAAAGTGGTAAAATCAATATGTCCTAAAGCAGCATTTCAAAACAAAATTTCTCAAACTGGATTACTGGCTGCTTGTTCTGGTGGTACCAACTTTAACCTAAAAAATGCAGAGAATACGTAATTCTGTTCCAGGAAAAAAGTATGGATAGACATTTTATAGTGAACTATTCCATAGCGAGTTTTTGAAAAAGCAGTTTACTTTTTTCAAAAGTTCTGTGTTGGAGAAATTATACAGTACAATAAAATGACTACTTGGATATATACATTGATATAAAAATGTGAGTGGTCATAAAAAGTACTCCAGTTCCAGACTGATTTTCCTAGCAACTGACATTCTCCTGCAGATGTTCAGCCTCTTTCTGTCTCATCCATCTCAGATTTTCATGGACATGTACCTATAGAATACTGGAACAATGTAGGCCTTCCTTATATTCACTCCCTCTCCAATACTTCTCATCTGACTCTTCAAATTTTTTGTGTAAACCCCCCCCCCTTTCAGAGCAAAAAAGGGAAGTGGGAGACTTGCAGATGATTTAAAAAACCTCTTCCTACTTCCCTTTTAATTCACTGATATTGGGGTCTTAAAAGGGAAATGGGAGGGGGTTTGCAAAAAAACCTTTGCAGTTCTCTTCCTTCCCTGCTTAAGATTGGATTTCAAGGGATTTTGTAAAGTGGGTAGCCTGCTAACCTGTCAGAATTTGCCTGTGAGTAAGATCCTGATAAAGATCTGGCCCATGGAGCCAAAAAGGGAGGGGGAGCTTGAGACCAAAATTTGACACCCCCCCCCTTCATGCCCCTTAAGCAAGACACTGCATTTTGGGAAGGAGGTGTGAGGGCTCTGGCAGGGTCCTAGAGCCCACCCATCTCCTTCTCAAAGCTGGGAAAGAGCTAACTAGGCTTTGGGAAGGGGGGGGGACTGTAGAACCCTGTCGGAGCCCTCATGCATCCTTTCCAAAGCCCAGCACCTCGCTTACCTGGCTTTGGGAAGGCAGTACAAGGGCTGCAGGGGCAAGGGGTGTCCCCACACGTTAGACCATCCTGATGTACATGGATAGGATAGATAAGTCCATTTGTTTCTTCTCTTCCCCAACCCAACAAGTGCATGTTAGAAATTAAATGCTCATAATTATAAAGGTGTTGTGCTTTGTTTGCAAATGCAGGGCAGCACAATTATCTCTGTGCTGGAAGAAATGACTGCATTATTGACAAAATCCGGAGAAAAAACTGCCCAGCTTGCCGCTATCGGAAATGTCTTCAAGCTGGCATGAACCTGGAAGGTAACTTGCAATGTTTTAAAGCTGAAACCTAGAAAATCCTTCATTTTTGCATATATAAAAGATGGAGAGCCTCTTTGCACATTACTCATATGAAGATGTCCCAAATATAGAAAAGGACAGTGGGGACATGTTGCATCAAATGCCACACATCTTTTTTCTGGCCTTTCCTATGATGTGCAGCTGTGATGGCAGCCTGTACCCATAGACTCAGAAATCCATGCCTAATATGTGAACATAAGGGATGGGGGAAGCTGCATGATGTTGAGTGCAGGACTGGTGGCCTAGTCCCTCTGCTTCATTCTACACATTGATCCCATCACTGGAATAATGCATGAAGTGGGTTAGTGTAAGTTTCAATAGTGGGAGTGGTCCCTACTCACAATTCAATAGTCAATAGTAACAAAAACTAATCCATTCAAAAGTATGTATTATAATAAAGATTACAAACTCAAATAGAGAGTATAAACTCTAACAGAGATTACAAACTCAAAGAGATATGTATAGCACAATAATTCGTTACAAAGATTTTCTCTTTCTCACTCGACAATAATGTTGATCCTTATAATTTATCAGTTTGCAGATGGAGACTCAGTTTCAATCATAGAGCAGAAGTCAGAAGTCAATTATGGATTGGAAACCAGGACAGGGCCCTGTTTCGATGTATTCACCTTCATCAGCTAATTTTTAAGCTTGAAGTTTGTAAGTTTGAAGACTTTCAGATAAATATAGCCTGTTATTTTCTATATATCTATATATAACAGGATATATTTATCCAAAAATCTTCAAACTTACAAACTTCAAACTTAAAAATTAGCTGATGAAGGTGAATACATCGAGACAGGGCCCTGTGTACCTGTCCTATTGACTATCGAATTTGGAGTAGGGACCACTCCCACTATTGAAACTTACATTGGCCTGAGTTCTTGTTGTGCTTTTTTCTTGGTATATTTAATAACAAGGACTCCAACTTATTTAACTTATTTAAGTGGGTTAGTGGCAATATATGCAGTTGTTTAATGTTTTCTGAATAACTATTTATCACTGTATATGTTTAACATATGCACGTCTTTCTTGGCAGAACTTAGATATTTCTTTCAACATGCATTTCCAATCTTTCCCAGACTCTCATAAGAACTGTATTTTGCACTGAAGTGTCACTGTAGTATGATTTGTATGCATGCTAATCTCTTTTTTCCGTTTCTCTTCTTTTTGTTTTCACTTTCCGATTTCACGTATTTGTGCACTCCTTTTTTCAGTAAATACTGGGGTTGGGAAAACCCCACACTTGGAGTGTATAACAGTTTGAATGCAAATCAGGAAGAAACAAACATGTTGACTCATCGGGTGGTATTCTATACCAGTTCTACTCAGAGTTAGATCCATTGAAGTTAATCAACACCACTAACTTCTGTTCACTAATTTCAGTGGGTCTACTCTGAGTAGCACCTGGTTGAGTGCAATCCATTGTCAACAATATGAAACTTTTAAAGTATGGATAGGTGATAACATTCAGTAATACTGTATGGCAAATTCATAATGAGCAAATTCACATGTTTGGTCCTTTCTGGCTGAGGAGAGGTAACTGTTGCAGGCTTGTCATTGCAATCCAGGAAGTCTTGTAGTAGCAGTGTTAGTAGTGTTTGGCAGAATGAAGACTTCCACTTGTGTGATAGGAAAACTGACCTGGCCTTACCATTAGACAGAGTGCAGGTGCTGCTCAGGTGCTGCATTGCTGGGGTTGGACTAGATGATCCCCGGGCTCCCTTCCAACCCAGCAGTTCTGTGATTTCTAGTTCAGTAGTTAGGGAGGCAAGCCTGCATTGTGATCTGTCTCTGCTGCTCCATGTGGCGTTATATTTAGGAGCAAAGACATTTTTCATCCCCTCCCCTCACATTCAAACTTTATAAACATTGCTATTTATTATAGCAATTTCATAATAACGCTGTGAAGATATAATTCCAGAGGCCCCTGAAATATTATGTGTTTCGATTATTTTAAGCCCTTATGTCTAACAATAGAATGTCTTTACCAGAAATTTAATTTAGAGGCGGTATGTTTTAGGCCTTTGCAGATAACAAATTTAATTGGACAAACAACTAAAATACTTGGCTGCTTGTGCTTTTGCATACGTTTTTGTCTCTGTCTTACAAAACATCTAAATCTCTGTCTTACAAAATATCTAAGGAAGGGCAATCCAGAGTGTGGATGCTATCACCAAGAAGACCCACTTCCACATTGTCACCAAATGACAATTTGGTGGTTGTGGAGCAACCAGCAGAGTCTCCTTGGAAGATCAACTTGGTCTGTACTGGGGAAGGCAGTCTGCTAGGTATAATAGTCCCAAGTTGTTTAGTACTTTAAATGTCAACCACATCACCTTGATCTCAGTAGGTAATAGGCAGCCAATAGTATAATACCTAATAACGCAACTAATTATTTTGTATGTTATTGCATGTATGTGTCTCCAAAAACACCTCTAATTGTGTGCTAACTCAGGTATGGAGTAGGCAAAATCACTGGTAAGCTCACAAGTGCCTCCACATTTGCTGTGATTTCTGTAACAGCAGCTGCTGCCAAAAGCACTGCTGCAGTTGGAGGCATCAAGTGTATAGCACCACATGGAAGCACTGCTGCATGCAAGTGATCTGGCCCTTTGCTATCTTTTCAAAGTCCTAGTTGGCTAAGTGCTTTACAGCTCTTTGCTATTCATAGAATTGTGAAGTTGGAAGGGACCAGTATTAACTTTATATTTGCTGTTCATTATCTGGTACTCTATTTTGTCCATTTTTGTAATTCCACTGTAAGATAGATTTTATATACAGTATTGCAAAATTTTCAGGATATATGGTTCGTATAAGTAAAAAAGTATGCAGGCAGCATAGATACTGTGGAAATGTAAATAAACACAGTATATGGAGAAGTGTATTTTAAGCAGTTTATCTGGCATATGTATTCCATAGTTTAATTATAATGGCAAGCAGTTGTCAGAAAAAAAATATCTTTTTTGATCCAGCTGTAGAAGAAGCAAAAAAAATTCTGGCTATGGGGATTCATGTCTAGTAATGCATTCTATGATTCTATGTGCATGTAGGCATAATTCCATGGTGTGTATGTAGTTTTGCTCATCCATTGCCAAGTTCTGTTGTCTTGGTTTTAGTGCAATGCAAAGGCCTCATTGAAACCATTCCATTCCAAAGCTGTAAATGGAATAAGTTTTTTAGTAATTTCCCCCAGGTACACTACTGCTTTTTCTTCCTTTTCACATTTAATCCAAGGTTTCATTTTCTGTTCATACAAATAAAACCATAAAGGAAGGGCAGGAAATCTCTGTGGCCCCCAACTCCTCTCTGTTCCAGCAAGCATGGCCAACGTCTGGGGATGATGAGAGTTGTAGTTCCAACAAGATTAGGAGGCCACAGGATTCCCTGCCATAAGGAGTCTGTTGTATGCCTGCAGCATAGAAGATGGCATTGGTTGTGTTAGCAACGCTTTCTGGTTTTATTTTTTAATGTTGACTTTATTTTCTTAAACATTTCTAGCACGAAAGACAAAGAAAAAGATAAAAGGAATCCAGCAATCTAGTGTGGCTGCAGGAAGAGAGACTGCAGAAAGTCCCACAAATAAGGCTGTTGTTCCTGCCTCCCTGCCACAGCTAACGCCTACTCTGGTTTCCCTACTGGAAGTCATTGAACCAGAAGTGATGTTTTCAGGCTATGACAGCACAGTACCGGACACAACTTGGCGTATTATGTCCACTCTCAATATGCTAGGAGGAAGGCAAGTGGTTGCTGCTGTGAAATGGGCAAAGGCAATACCAGGTTTGTATATGTATTTACATGAATATAGACTATACTTCCTTAATGTAAGTGTGTTTTGCAAGGCTATATTCTGCTCCTAACCATGGTAGGCCTGGATGATGAATCAATACATTGCCCAGGACCGGTATGAGGGCCAGTATACCCAGTGGTATGTTGTGGGTGAAGCCGCTTCTGCTGCCGAGTCCCTCTGCTGTCAGCGCCCAGTGTGAGAGGGAGGAACAAGCCACAGTGGGTCTCTGCAGCAGCAGTGATTTCACCTGCAATATACTGCCAGGTGAATCAGCCATTGCGCTCTGGCCATCATGCAACTTGTTCTTCCCTCAGCTGCCCATGCAGGTAGGCAGCTCCTTTAAACTTCTCTACTTAGTGGCTGCCTGCCCCTGAATGGAGAAGTTTAAAGGAGCCTCCAGCTCACACAAGCTGGAGGCAAGGTTGGGGCTCCGTTACACTTGAGGGAGCCCTGCAAACAGAGGCTCCCTCCATCTTGGGGCAAGCAAGAGAAAGAAGCCTCCGGCTGCACAGGTGGGGGTCCCAGCTGAACAGCACAAACAAGCTGAGTTGTCCCTGCCCATGAAGGCACGGGTGAAAGTGCCTCCGCTCCCATGGCGAGAGCTGCAGCAGTTTCACCCTGTGCCTTGCGGGCTGGGGCCAATGCAGCATAGTTCACAATCGTGGTTTATTGCCAGATTGTGATGTTGAAAACCAAACATTGTCCAGCCCTAAATCATGGGCTTCTTATCTTACACCATAGAGAAAGGTTCGGTTTCCTGGTTTCCAGCATACAGTTGTACCTCGGGTTAAGTACTTAATTTGTTCCGGAGGTCCGTTCTTAACCTGAAACTGTTCTTAGCCTGAAGCACCACTTTAGCTAATGGGGCCTCCCGCTGCTGTCGCGCCGGCAGAGCACAATTTCTGTTCTCATCCTGAAGCAAAGTTCTTAACCCGAGGTACTATTTCTGGGTTAGCGGAGTCTGTAACCTGAAGCGTATTTAACCCGAGGTACCACTGTATAGGTTGCAGTTCTACCTTCAAAATGACACAGAGATAAATTATTCCCTTACTGTTAATTGTTATGGCTTGCCATGAAAGGAAAACAATGAAACAAGAATTAATACAGTGGTGCCTCGCAAGACGAAATTAATTCGTTCCGCAAGTTTTTTCTTCTTGCGAGTTTTTCGTCTTGCGATGCACGGTTTCCCATAGGAATGCATTGAAAATCAATTAATGCGTTCCTAGGGAAAACGACTTCAGACCAGGTCCGGGGACAGTCTGTCCCCTGACCTCTTCTGAAGGCTGGGGGGGGGGGACAAGGGCTTTTCTTCCCACCCCCAGCATTTTAAAAAACCCCGGGACAGCGGAGGGCTTCTCCGCTGTCCGGGGCGATCTTAAAATGCTGGCGGGCGGCATTTTAAAATCGCCCCGGGACAGCGGAGGTCTTCTCCGCTGTCCGGGGCGATTTAAAAGCCCCTGGGAAGGCAGGCAGGGGGGACAAAGACTTTTGCCCCCCGCCAGCCTTAAGAAGAGGTCCTGGACCTCTTCTGAAGGCTGGCGGGGGGCGAAAGTCTTTGTCCCCCCTGCCTGCCTTTAAAGCCCTCCCGGAAGAGCGGAGAAACGCAGCGCGTTTCTCCGATCTCCCGGGAAGGCAGGCAGGGGGGACAAAGACATTTGCCCCCCGCCCTCCTTCAGAAGAGGTCCAGGACCTCTTCTGAAGGCTGGCGGGGGCGAAAGTCTTTGCTCCCCCCCGCCTGCCTTCAAAAGCTGTCCGGCCAAGGCTTTGCGGAGAGTTGCCGGCATGCCGAAGCCTGCGCGCGCTGAGATCAGCGCGCCCAGGCTTCGCGGACCTCTCCTGCCTTCAAAAGCCGTCCGGGATAGCGGGAAGCGCTTCCCTGCTATCCCGGACTGCTTTTAAAATGCTGCCGGTGGGGAGCAAAGCCTTTCGGCCCCCGCCAGCCTTCCTGGACCTCTTCTGAAGGCCGGAGGGGGGGGAAAGGCTTTGCTCCCCACCGCTAGCATTTAAAAGAGGTCCCCGGAGATTTCCCTATGGGCTTTCGTCTTGCGAAGCAAGCCCATAGGGAAATTCGTTTTGCGAAGCGCCTCCAAAACGGAAAACCCTTTCGTCTAGCGGGTTTTCCGTCTTGCGAGGCGTTCGTCTTGCGGGGTACCACTGTACTAGGATTGGAAAGTCTCATCAATTTTTTACCTGGCAGGGAAAAGATTAAACACTCTTTTCCTTAATGTTCCTTTTCCAGTGGAAATCGCCTCTTCCAAAGAGCATTATACAAAGGAGAGAGCTTGGTTACATTTCACTGCAGTATATCAACTGTAATTTGCATATTTGTAGATATTAATATGTCTGTTATTAACATTTTTTGCTATTTAGCATTACTATTTCATAAAACTATTTTGGATTTTATGTCCCTTTACTGAATTTTTGATGCATTTTGACTCTGGACCCTCTCAAGAAGTCATTCTGAACTTTAAGATTCAAAATAACACTTTGGACAAGCAGTACTTTAATTACAACAGGAAATGTGCTAGATCTTGTACCTTTTATTTCCAATCAGGTTTCAGAAACTTGCATCTGGATGACCAAATGACACTTCTGCAGTATTCGTGGATGTTTCTGATGGCTTTTGCCCTAGGATGGAGATCATATAAACAGGCTAATGGAAGTTTATTGTGTTTTGCACCAGATTTGATCATCAATGAGTAAGTAGTATTCGAGTCCTTCTCTCTGTGTTTCTAAAGCTTGGCTACACTTCTAGAAATGTGTTCTTATAACTTGGGTGCACAATTAGTACTATAATTGTGTATAAAGACTTAGCTTATAAAAAAACAATTCCTTATTTATTTTTCAATTTGAATATTTCAGTAACTTGTACTGCTCATAGAACAGTAGAAATGAAGGTATTAAAAATCTCTTTTGGCTTTTACTTTAATAATGCATAACTACATCTGTCTGTTGAAAATGATAACACCACAGTGGTGTTCTTCCTGTGCAACATAAGTTGGCAGGATGAGAGCCACTGTGGTGCAATAGTTAGGAAGTGTCATACTACGACAAGGGGCACCCAGGTTCAATTCAGCATGAAGTTCATTAGGAGACCCTAATGTGCATATGTTCGTTGGCAACCTAATTTGACTAAATTTAAATTACCAGAAGCAAGCCAAAGGTGAGGTGGGGAATGATGAGTAGGGTTGGTTAGGTTTGTTTTGCATCGTGATGGTGTCCACAGCAGGATGGTAGTAGTCGGGGGGAGGGGGCACAAAATATGTTAGAGATGTCTCCCAGTAAAATAGTTGTTAGAATATATGCACAATCCATCTCCACTTTATGATGCTTTGAATATATTAACAAGGTTACTTTTGTGAGTACTAGGGTTAGGTCACATCTGTTAGAGTGCCTGTCTACTATTAATAAATATTCAACTAAGCAAAGAATATACCGTATTTTTCGCACGATTGGACGCACCGGACCATAGGATGCACCTAGTTTTTTGGGGGGAAATAAAGGGAAAAATTTTTCCCTTTATTTCCCCCCCAAAAGCAGGTCAGGGAAACCGAACCAGGTCGAGGAACAGCGGGATAGTGGCGCTGCGCCTCCCTGCTGTCCCCCGAGCTTGTGGGGCTGGCTGATGTCTGCCTGGCGCGCGGGGCACTCTGCTTCAGGGCGCCCCACCCGCCGGGCGGCAGGCTGCTATCCGCAGCGTGGGGAGCTGCAGGGAACTCCTGCAAGGCTCCCCACGCTGCGGGTGTCTGCCCGGTGAGAGGGGCGCTCTGCTTCAGGGCGCCCTCGCGCCGGGAAGCAGGCTGCTATCCGCAGCCTAGACACGGCTAGCGGAGCGCTAATCCCGAAGCTTGGGGCATGCGGAGCTCAGCGCGCCCCAAGCTTCTGGGCGCTGGCAAGGTCTCCGCTAGCCGTCTAGCGGAGACCTTGCCGGCACCCAGAAGCTTGGGGCGCGCTGAGCTCCGCATGCCCCAAGCTTCGGGATTAGCGCAGTGGTCCGCTAGCCGTGGGAGAGCCGTGCGACGTCGCGGGGCTCTCCCAGGGCTAGTGGAGACCTTGCCGGCACCCAGAAGCTTGGGGCGCGCTGAGCTCCGCACGCCCCAAGCTTCGGGATTAGTGCAGTGGTCCGCTAGCCGCGGGAGAGCCGCGCGATGTCGCGGGGCTCTCCCAGGGCTAGCGGAGACCTTGCTGGCACCCAGAAGCTTGGGGCGCGCTGAGCTCCGCACGCCCCAAGCTTCGGGATTAATGCAGCGCTCCGCTAGCCGTGGGAGAGCTGGGTCTCCCACGGCTAGCGGATAGCTTCCTGAAGCCTGGACAGCGAGAGGGGTCCGTGCGCACCGACCCCTCTCACTCTCCAGGCTTCAGCGAAAGCCTGCATTCGCTCCATAGGACGCACACACATTTTCCCTTGCTTTTTAGGAGGGAAAAAGTGCGTCCTATGGTGCGAAAAATACGGTATTTAGATTTGTTTGTTACTGTTTAGGCTTTTCGTTTTGCTCGTTATAGCAGTATGCTATTTGGGTACCCTGCACTATTAGATTTCACTATTAGATGAAATAACTGGTTAAAGTAGGGGTGCTATGCACAGTTGTGCTGAGAATCCAAAATGGGGGAGGGTAGGCAGACAGTAGAACAAAGGATAGTATAGGCGGGTTGCAATGGCATAACATTGACCTTTTACTGAAATTATACAAATTGATAAAGGCTGAAGGCCACAGAGGATACACTCCTCTGGAGATTAATTTCTCTCTTCCCCTTTGACCTGTGAGATTTTTCCACAGACTCCGCTTCTCACATTCTAAAACTGCCATCTTTCATAGTGCATGTTTGTCTTGTTTAATTCTAATTTTGAAATGCTCTAGCTTACTGACACCACAATAATAGTTCCATTATCATACCTCTATATTTGTCTATCATTATTTGTTGACAATTATGAACTGATATTGTCTGGCTACATTGACCTTGTTTTTGCATATGTGAATCCTTTTGTCATAATAAGTTAAGAGCATTAAATGTTCCTTCCACTCAAATAAACTCTTCCCTTCAGATGCCCTTTGCAGACAGTGTTTCACATAATAAATGGTGACACTTCTAATACATGTGATACTGTAGCACAGAATCCTAGTAACACAGTAATGGTATTTGCATGGCACTGTAACATTGCACAATTGAAAAAAGCTCTGAAACAATAAGTAACTAAGTGCTAAATCTTAACACATCTATTATTTCTGTATTTTAATATTGTGTGAGAACAGTTGCTTCCCAGAGAGTCTGTATATTTATTCCTCAAAAGCAAGCCTTTTTACATTTTTGTAACATTTCTGATTGTGGTAGATATTTTCTGCAGCAGGGCCAGAATAGTCAGTTGTGGGATGTTCTCACTACTTTCTGTAGACACTTGGTGCAGTTTCATGAAAAAATTACATACTGTAACAACACAGGTAGATTCAGTTTACGGCAAACCTCGATGCCCTACAAGGATCTTGATGAACAGAACTTGACCTGGCTTTTTTTAAAAAAAAAAAGCTTTCTCAAGTGTTGTGTTATTCTAGTCACCCAAATAGAAAACTTGTATCAAATTCTATTGAGCAACTACAATAAGGATGGACTATGATCTCATCCTTAATGACTTTGTTCCTCCCTGAAGAAGCCTGTCTTGCATGTTGACCTACAGCACTGTAATCTTTTGTGTTCATTACTTGCTTTAGCGGACAAATAATTTCTTCTACTGTGAGGCTTCTTCTCTTTTGCTACAGTGACTGTTTTATCCTTTTTTAACCCAATCTTGACCTGAAAGAAACAATGCATGAGATTGATATTGTTTGCGTCAAAAATAAAGGCTTAGTATAACCACCTGTATACTTTGAAATATGACGGTTTCCCAATGAAATACAGTATGTGGAAATTCTATATCAGTCCCTGTATTGAATGCAAACAGTGATTTAAAAAAAAAACTGTGATAAAACCATAGCTAAATTTATTGGTTTTTATTCTGTTATGTGGATTGAGAAGGAAGCTGAAAAAGTAGCTTACAGTGGTACCTCGGGTTACATACGCTTCAGGTTACAGACTCCACTAACCCAGAAATAGTGCTTCAGGTTAAGAACTTTGCTTTAAGATGAGAACAGAAATCGGGCTCTGGCGGCGCAACAGCAGCTCGAGGCCCCATTAGCTAAAGTGGTGCTTCAGGTTAAGAACAGTTTCAGGTTAAGTACGGACCTCCAGAACAAATTAAGTACTTAACCCCAGGTACCACTGTACTGAGATATACTCTGCTCTTCCTGATTCTGATTATTGTATAGTTGCATTTCATGAAAGGAGATAGATGCTGAGGTTTTCTGGTTAACCCACCATATACCGTATTTTTCGCACCATAGGACGCACTTTTTCCCTCCTAAAAAGCAAGGGAAAATGTGTGTGCGTCCTATGGAGCGAATGCAGGGGGGAGGCAGGCGGGAAAAGCCCTCAAGAGCCGCACACAAGCTTCGTGCGCTCTTGCGGGCTTTTCTCCAGGAGGGAGAAGGGACTGACTGGCTGTAGCAGTCCCTTCTCCCTCCTGGGGGAAAAGCCCCCAAGAGCGGCGCCCTCTTTAAAGGCTGTGCGGCTCCTGCAGGCTTTTCTACGAGGTGGGGGAATCCGCCCACCTCCCAGAAAACCCAGGAGAAGCCGCACCGCCCCTTTAAAGAGCGTGCGGCTTCTGCGGGAGGTGGGGGAAGCTGCAGCAGATTCCCTCCTCCCGGGTTCCCTTTGAGGCGGCAATGTGGGAGGGGAGCAGCTTACACTCGTGTAAGCAGCTCCTCTCCCACTTTCCTCCTTCAAAGCAACTACGGAGGAGGGAAGTAAGAGGACCATGGATCCTCCGCTGCTGGAGGCTTCAGCAGATTCCCCCCTCCGTGATTGCTTTGAAGCAGGAAAGTGGGAGGGGGGCAGCTTACACTCGTGTAAGCAGCTCCTCTCCCACTTTCCTCCTTCAAAGCAACTACGGAGGAGGGAAGGAAGGGGACCATGGATCCTCCGCTGCTGGAGGCTTCAGCGGATCCCCCCCCCAGCTTAAGTGGGGTGGGGGAAGTGTGGCAGGTAGGGGGGTACCTACCTAGACAGTGAAGCCACATGTCTCTCCAATGAAAATTGGGAGTGGGCATTGTGTGAAGTGGCTGTGGATCTCCTGCCGCAGAACTGTAGGACTGTATAGAGTTGGGAGGGCCACCCGAGGGTCATCTAGCCCAGCCCCCTCACAATGTAGGAATCACAGCTAAAGAACGCCAGGCAGATGGTCCCCCAACCGCTGCTTAAAAGCCTCCAGTGGTGGAGACCCCAAACACCTTCCGAGGTCATAGAATTGCAGGGTTGGAAGGGAACCCCAGGAGTCATCTAGTCCAGCCCCAGTGGACAGCATGCGCAATCCATCCCGTTGCGCAAGACTAAAGATGCTGCGCAAGGCTAAAGAAGAAGCCAAGGCAGCGAGCGGGATGGATCGCGCTTGCTGCCTTGTCTTCTTCTTTAGCTGCACTGGAGAGGTTTAGCTCCTGGCTGGAGAGGTTGTGCGGCTATGGACCCCGCGCGCTGTCTTGGCTTCTTTGCTCTTTGGGGCTGGGGGGGGAACCCGGGCTTCCCCCGCAGCCCCGAGAAGGTCTGGGAGAAGCGGACAGGCTGCGTGCAGCCTGTCCGTTGCTCTTTGGGGCTGGGGGGGGAATAATATTTT